AAGGCGGTTCACTTAGATCAACTGCATCTTGAATGCACTCCACAGCTCGGTAGATGATCTTTTGTCTCCACGCGTCGAGGTCTTCGATGGCCGTTTCGTCAATGGGATCTGGTTGTGGATCCTCAGTTGGTTTCTTTGGTACCAACGGTCGAACGCCCTTCATGAGGTTGTTTCGAACTCTCTCTTCATCCTTTTTCGTCTTCGGCGCCCTGACCCCTAACGCACTAAACAAAAGTCGTTTCCCTGCACCTAGGTCCAACTTTGATCGTCGTGATGAGCTCGGCTGCCTCGACTCTGTAGAAGACGGTGGAGGTTTCGGAGAGGTCGAAGGGGTATCGAGAGCTGCCATTTCTGGAGCTGTTGGGGGTCTGGCCATCTCAAACTCTGCACCATTGTGTGGTGGAGGCGTTGAAGTGTGCTCAATTTGATCGACAGCGATTGAAGCCGGATTTGCAACCTCCTGTGATACAACTGCCTGTGACTCGACAACCCGCCGCGGTTCGATGCTCCGCTCACGCTGCAACTCGACACTGCTATGCAACTCGACGCTTTGTTGGGTCTTGACAGCTTGCCGAGACTCTAGAGATTCTCCAGCAGATTCTTCAACCCCTGTCATCTCAATGTCAGGGCCGGATTCAGTAGGTGGCGATTGATGGACACTTGTCGAGAATTCGGGACCAACTTCAGCGCCACCAGCTGCAAGAGATGCAAGTAGTTCTTGTCTGCGATGTTCAAATTCAAGCCCCTGGCTCACGGATTGGTCCTTTTTTTCACTGGATTGTCGGAGGGTCCTTGCAGCTCTAACGTCCTCCAATGCAGCCAATGCGGTCTCTGCCGATGTTGTCTCGTCTATCCGCAAATCCCTGAAATCAGCTATCGTGGTTCCAGCCGGAAGGATCCCCTTCTTTTTAAATCTGACCAAGGCATTTGCAATTTTCCTACGCTGGTTTCTCGTATGGGTTTGGGTTGACCCTTGTCCTGGAGTTGCGCTTGGTATTTTCTTCGACTTATTGTCCTGAGATGGTGATGTTGTGTTGAGATTAGCAGGCGTATCAATAGGAGTCTCTTGCTTGCTGGAAGACTCCTCTGGTGATTCATCATCACCACTCGATGAGTCGCTGCTGCTCTCGCTGCCACTTTCGGAGGATGACGTTCCACCATCTGAACCCTTTCCCCCCTCGGCCTCCTCGTCGGAGGAATCGCTACTATCCTCACTGCTGCTAGAATCTTCATCATCGGACTCTGAACTCCCATCGTCGCTTTCTTCTTCGCTTTCTTCCTCCTCGACTTGAGACTCTTTGTCTGTGTATGGGATTGAGGTGAGGCCTTTTGAGAAATTTTCATCCAAAGCAAATCTGACGCTCTTATTGCTGGTGACTGAGGCTGATCTCCTTAATTCCGAGCGTGGTCGAGCAGGTGAGCTTTTCAAGACCGCTGCCATGACCGACAGGGCTTTGCCGGACTTGATAGAACCCGGGGGAAGCCCATTCTGGTCGTAATAATCGAGAAGTGTATTCTCTTCTGGCTCGACCTGCATGCTCGCCAAAGTCTCCGATTCATGCGTAGACAGGGTCTTCGCCATTGACCGGGTTTTAGGCACCGTCAAATCGCCTTGATTAACTCCTTGTGAGATCTCAGTAACCGCACTTTTTGGCTTCTCGGGTACAAAGCCTCGTGCCATGGATTCATAGGCTTCTCCAATATCCTCCGACCCGTTGAAGACGTACTTGCACACGGCCAGAGGCGATTTAGGAAAGGCAGAATGCAACTTACGGATCTTCGCTCGAGTTACCTGATCCTTTACGTCCGCAAGGGCAGGTTCGTTAGAATCGTCGGTAGCTTCTGCATTTGCGTGCGAGTCGACAGGAGGTGCTTCCCCATTTTCGGCTTCCTTCTTTTCGTAGTCTCCTTCAAGGTCTTCTTCACTTTCGCCGTCCTCTTCTGCATCTTCGTCTTCTCCAGGAGCGAAGTCTTCATCATCTTCGTCATCATCATCTTCAAAATCAGCGTGTAAGATGAGCTGCCTATTATTATCCTCCTCAGAGTCTTCCGCTTCCTTTTCCTTAAGAGTCTGAAATCCTTCGGGATCTTCGTCATCATTGTTGTATTCGATTCTTTGCCTCTTTCGTGGTGGTATATTGACAGCAGGTCGATCCCCCGCTTTCCTCAATAGTGGTCTGCCCCAGGCAACGCCGTCGACAAGATGTTTACCATCGGTCGAGATTTGCCTGCGTCCAGAGACTCGTCGTATCTTGATGTCCTGGGTGAGAAGGGGTCGTATTCTAGAAAATGTTAGTTCTACGATATGAAACTGAATCACATCTCATTAAGGTGTTTGTACTAGGGATACGAACATGACTTCATCTTCGTCCTTGATTACACTCGCCAAATGCTGGAAGTGAAGACATTCGTAATTGACTCCGTTGTTGCCCTTTACCTCGACAGCATAGTCATCCAGACCCCATTCGCCATCGGACTCGATCGGTATTGCCTCGTTTACCTGCTCAAGAAGATGGTAGATGGTGGGATTAGGGCTGGTGTCGATTGCCCAGATGACGGGCGTGTCCGGGAGGCGATGACGCCTTACTGTCAAGCGTAACCTCATGGCGAAGGTTGCACAGGTTGACAATGGAATGTGATGGCGCGGAGAAGACACGGTAGAGTGTGGGGAAAAGATCCGAAGTTGTCTCTGGCGGGACGTGACGACGCGAAGAAAGCTGAGAGTTCGCGTTCAAGCGAGAGTGGCGCCGTGCAAAAATGAAGTTAGCCCTGATGATTGGGCGGATTTCAATCGCCGAGAACTGTCCTCCTTTATCATAACTGCTTTTCAATTTCATGATAGAGGGCTTTCCAACCCATTCGGTCTAACACGTCCATTGAGCTCTTGCATTGATCTGAGAAAAACATCAATTAAAGCTGAAAACCTGCACCAGCAGCTTCAACGGTGAGCGGGTCTTCTCCCGACCTGAGCCGGAGATAAAAAGCTCCACCGGAGGTAAGGCGATGGATGATAAGATACTAATCACTGCACCGTTTCGGGGGTTGGAGTATCAATTGAACTCACAGTTCAGCTGTTCAACCCCTAACTCTCTCACATTCTGTTTCTCAATTGAAATTCATACCTTCTCGAAGGTCCCAAAAACTCCAACATGTCCTGCCCAGCTTGCTTCCAAGGAGGCGTCTCGACCAGCCATCCAATTGGCAAAGAAACTACTGTTCACGGCCTTGCTACGTACGTTGCGGAGCCAGAAGAGAACGCCACACCTAAGGGCATAATTGTCTTCATCACCGATGCTTTTGGCTGGGACTTTGTGAACAACAGGGTCCTATGTGATCACTATGCAAAGGGAGGATTCCTCGTCTACTGCCCGGACTTCATGAATGGTAATCCACTCCAACCGCTCTTGAGACTCTTTTAACAATTCCTCAGGAAGTTCCATGCCATCCAGAGCTCTCACACTTATGGATGAAATCATGAAGCCTGGGTCTTGGTTCAATGCTTTTGTCCGGAAGCCTCTCTATGTTCTACAATTACTGGCCATGGGACTTCCTTGGAAATATAGAACACGCTACTCCGTCTCTCAACCCCGAGTCTTCTCCTTCGTTAAAGCTCTGCGAACTTCCCCACCTCCATTCGATACGAACAATCTCAAGATAGGTGCCGCCGGCTTTTGCTGGGGAGGGAGACACACAGTACTTCTCGCAGCGGATACCCCCTCTTCCCGAGTCTATAGACACGAGTCACAGGTCAATTCTTCCTCACTCGAGCCCTTGATAGACTGTGCTTTTACCGCCCATCCCTCCTCCATCGAAGTTCCCAGAGACATCGAAGCCATCATCATTCCAACCAGCGTGGCCGTCGGCGAGAACGACATGGCTATGGGAGCGAATAACATTCAGCAGATGAAGGGCATTCTTGAGAATAAGAAGGTGGGTGAGCATGAAGTCATTATTATTCCAGGCGCTAAGCATGGATTTTCTCTCCGTACCCACGCAGATGATAAGCACGAAATGGAGTATGCTCAGCAAGCGGAGGATCAAGCCATTTCGTGGTTCGCCAGGTGGTTCAACTGACCACACTTGTTCACTTGTGAATAGCTTTGGGTTTCTAGAAGCTTTCATGATTGTATATATGGTCACGAGTTGTACAATGTTTACGCCCCAGTATCTGCAATGGCATTAAGTTCAGTTACACAATGACCCAAGTAGATTTCTCACATGCCCGTGCCATATGAATACCCTCGAATTCCTCACAATCCCGATTGTCGTTTTCCCGGGCTGTCCTCAAGTCTGACCCCCTCCGAGCTCTTCATTGGCACCTTCTCCTCGCGCCTCCCAAAAACCCAGCAGATGAAACCAAAGATCCCACGCGCCAAACTCCAAATTGCACTCATCAAGTCAGAAATCTCACTGGCCGCCCATTTTAGAACAACCTTGAGGACCTTGAAGCCCAACCACGTACAGAAGAGGATGAAAGAGGTAATCACAATCAGCGCGGCTGCTATGAAGATACCGTAAATTATTCCAGGCAGGTTAAAGAGTACTGCCAGGCAGACTATCCAGATCCAACCAGTGATTATGCTGAGGCCAAGGATAAAGAGGCTGATGAGGATGAACATCCTGGCGGTTGAAGTGACCGGAGATGTATAGATCGGATGAACTTTTGATAGAGCAATATGATTATAACAAAAGGGAAACTGGCAGAAAATGATTGAGACAGCGGTAGCTTGCTGTGAAAGAAATCCTCCAAGACAAAGAACCTCCACGAAAGCAGGAAAGAATGAACCGCACATGCGGACAAAGAGAACAAAGAATGCCTCATTGCATAGCTGGACTCTGTTTTGAATCTCCAAAACTAGTGCAGATATGTCATTCACCCGTCGTGTCTTTACCAACAACATCCCTCACCGCCATCATCTGCCACCCCCTATCCGAACTATGCCCCACTCTCCTCGCAACACCAGTCGTACGTACTAGAATAACGACTTTTTCGTCAACAAGATCGGATGGCGCAATGGTAGCGCGTCTCCAATACAGTCTACCTCTTCTTCTCGTGTACTAATAGACGCTCTCGGGCACTCTTGGTGAGGAGTAAGTAGCATTGGAACGGAGAAGGCTCTAGGTTCGATTCCTAGTCTGGTCACTATCGCCAGCCCTCAAAAATCTACTTTTTGATTTTTTTATTAAAAAAAAATTGGTCTTTCTTAAAGAACTGGAAGAAGAAGAACAGTATGGAATATTTTTGCATAGGAAATTAGCCGAGTGATTGAGTTTGTGATGAGGGTGTGTTTTTGTGTGCTTTGCGGAAGACAAGATAAATAAATGTTACGCGAATGCCGGAGGGATGAATTGTGATTAGAGCAAAATACTGTTCAGACTGATTGGAAGATTGTTGAGTAAACCTGGGGACTTGCTTAATGGACATTGCTTGGTAGTAAATTTTCATACAATGTTCTCATTTGGCGGAACATCCATGCAGCAGAACACTTTTTGATGCAACGTTTGAGGTATATTGCCGGGACACGCAAAACTAGCAAATAGCAAAGCATTAACGATCATGGCATAAAGATTGGCGTAGCAGGAACGGCAAAGCAAGAAGCATCCATGCAGTCATAAATCAAACTTGGTGTTCGAGCAATTCCCAATAGAGTTGTAGGAGGTAAAGCCAAGACATATACTGATGTGGATCTTCGCAAGTGGATTAATGAGGTTGGCTTCCGGAGCTCTGCTTTTCTATTAATAGTGCACACACGTACTCGTACAATACTCGCGTTCCCCGATTATCTAACAGGTCTCCTCTAGCATCTCTATAGACCCTCTTTTGCAAGCATATCTGCAATGTTAAGGTAGAATGCAATAGCATTGAACCTGTCAATAAATCAGCAAATACACCACAAAGATTGATCATCAAATTTACTTTCTCTCGTTTCCACTCAGTTGCGAAACGGCCCACTTGATCCTATTCGTCCAATTGATCAAGTCCAAATGAGAAACGTTTACCAATGTCCCCTTATACGCCCCCCATTTCGCACTTTCCACACTAACCAACCCATCGTTGATCCCCTCCAGCTTCTGCACAATCTTATGCGGCTGCCGGAACGCACTCCAAAAGCTGGGAGCACAAGTAGCCCCGTAAGAGAAGTACCTCACACCCTGAGCATCTGGTGTTTTTGGATTGAACTCTTCCGCCATGTACTTCCTCGTCAACTGGCTGAAGGCTCCCGTACTAATGCCTAGCCTATCGAAGAATTTGTAAAAATACGGCAGGTAATTAGAACCAATCTCCTGGAAACAGTAATCCGCGAAAGCAGAACCTCGATGTGGAGTAGCAACCGTCGTCAGAGAGAGGACTTCGACATTATTGGGTTGTAGGCGAGAGATCATGTATCGAGCATCCAGACCTCCCATACTATGTGCTATGATATTGACGCTCTTGCCATTCGCCTTGGTTGCTATATCTTGTCCCAATTTCGCGGCCCGTTCTTCGATTGACCCCAAAGCAGGGACCGAGGCGATGATGACCTCGATGCCATTTGCACGCATTGCGTCTGTGATCCCACGCCAGTAATGAACTGGAGGAAATGGGAAGAATTTCGGTACTATCTGGAGCTCGTCGAAACCCATAAGACCGTGTGCTAGGACGACAGGATGTTTTGGAGTAGCTGTCTGCATCAGCGTTATTCGAAAGAAGACAAACCCCTGGAATATTACCATAATTCTCCCTAATCGTAGCAAAATCATCTTCAATGGCTCTGCCCAATATATTGATCCTCGGATCTCCGTCGGTCTTCTTCTCTTTCTCCGCCATACGCATACATCGGTGGCAGGAAAACGTCCTGGATTGATATACTGATGACATGACGATGCTTCTTGGGCGGAAGCGTACATTTTGAGAACTCCATCTCGTGCGTGCTACACGAGCTACCAGTACCGTCATCGCTGAGGCTTATACATTGAGTTTGGAAGCGTTGGTAGGGAGACTCCATTTTGAGGAAGTCGCGCTGGGGAAAGTCATGAAGCCCTTTTGCGAGGGTGGCAGTGACGTCGACTGAATGACCCCTGCAAACATGTGACTTGAGGCTGCATTAGAGCATCCCGTGCGAATAGCTTCACATGGGCAATTTAGAGGCACAAAACGTATGAGGGACATTTTTTGCTTTACTTGAGAGGTTTTCCTACCATGTAGTTTCTGTAAATTTGCAATAGAAGTATCTGCAATTTCGAAGACAAGGATATCATTGTAATACTACGAACTGCACTATAGTCATGCAGCTCCTTCGCAGGCCCACCGAATTCCCATGCCGAGTTCAAGCCATTCAAAGCTCATGCACGCATCCATCATTCCAAGTAAAGTCTAGGTCGTACACTCATCCTGTCTCTCCTCCCTAGGACCCATAGCCTCCGGTCTATTTCGGCTTCTCAATACGTTCTGGAACGACAGGTGTGATCTCAAAAACGGCTTTCAGTAGATCCTTGACAACCTTGTCTTGTCCCGTCTTGCCAGCTTCCTTGATCTCCTTCATCTTAGTCTCAGCATCCTTATTTGCATCTTCCTCGGCCTTCTTGTTGCCACTGGTGTGCTACAGACCACATAATTAGCATACATGCCACACGACGAACCTCCTATGGCAGCTATAGTTCCCATCTGAATGGAGGGAAGTAAAGTCAGGTTCAACATACTTCCGCCTCAAACTTCTTGAACTCCTCATCCTTAGATTTCCTGTATGCCTCGATCTCCTTCTTAGCCTCATCTCTTGCCTCCTTTACACGCTTTGTGCGGTCTATCCCAGTCAGTTCCCCATCCTCCTCCAGTTCGTATTTGCTTGGGTGGAGCTCTGCTCACATTCTCTAGCTGCGATGCGGTTAGCACTCCGCAATCAAATGATTCTGCCTCTACACACAGAACCTACCTCTCTGGACGATCTTCTGAGCTTCTCTCTCAGCCTATATGCAATCAGCACCTCCTCTACCATTTCTAACTGCATTCTCTCGACAAAGGTACCCACATCAAGCAGGGTCTGGATCCCCGCTGAATTCTGTGCCGACTGGGAAACAATTAGCCCGAGGTTCAGCAGACAGCCGTAGAATAGACATACCATCTTGCAAGGCTCCTTCTTTCCTTCAAAGCTTGCGCGGTGTGGTTGAGCTCGTTATCGCTGGACGTGCGAATAGAGAGTTGAGGGAGGGTAGCTCCGCTCCAAAAAGCAATGAGCTCCAAACCCCTGCTCGGCTAGTCCACTTTGGTTGTCCTTCATTGCAACTTCCACTTCTCACGACACCTCCAAGTTCTTCACCATGTCACACTGAAAATTCAATTGCCAAGTCAGGGGAAGAATCAATCAAGAGGCCGGAAAGCAGGAATCGCCATGTCCCGGGTAGCAAAGCTCACCCTCGCGGGAACATCCCTCTTCGCTATTGGCACCATAGTCTTCGTGCACCACGCCCAGCAAGCTGAGAAAGCAGTGTGTCTCTTACACTCCCAAAACCAGTAGTGTCAAGCTAATGCTGGCTCAGGCAATGCACCAAGGCGTAGTCCGAGACGTGGAGCAGCAGCGATTAAAGAAGGAACGCCAGCTCGATTTCGAGATGCAGAAGGCCCTGGAAGAGGAATACAAGAAAATTCAAAGTGTACACGATGGAGGGACAGTACTGAATAAACAACGATGACACGACTCTGTTCGCCTTATAAATCTCTCCACTGTGTATCATGGACGGAATTGGTGTCCAACAGCAAGCATTGGGGGGCGAATCGGCTCATTTCTCAAGACAAAAGCAAAGGGGATGGCAGCATAAGCATATCACAGGAGGGCACGAAAAGGATCCAGATCATTCCTGCATTCATTTCCCTGAGATCTAGATATGGTACAATAAGGACGTTCCGCTTTGCGCCTCCCATGGCAAACGAACTTGGCGGCATTAAACTATGCAAATGCTTTCGAGGACCTTTTCTTCCATTCTCGCTCCTTCCCAAACGCCCCAATATGCAAAGACTTTCTCCTCTCCCCGACCATGTCTCCTTTTCTCATCATACATTCTTACATCTCCCCCTCCATTTTCCCACCACTCGCTCAGCGAACTGAAATCCCGGATCTCTTGGTGAACATTCTAGATGCGATGTTCATCGATGCCAGCTCTTGGAAGAGTAACTTGGCAGCGTAGGGAATGTGGATCTGAGAAATCTTGGTTTTGTTCTTGCAAGGTCTGCACTCAAAAGACTGTGTGGAAAGTTTACTATTACAGGTCAGCGTCAAATTCCCCAGGAATGGTTGAAACTTACGCAATCGGTGTCATAAGTCCACAGATGTCACACACGTGGACTCTGAAAGCATCCGAAACCTCGAACAATCTCTCCTTCAAGAAAGCACTCGCTCCATGAGAAATCATGCAATCACGCTCCATTTCTCCGAAACGAAGACCACCATCTCTAGCACGACCTTCCACTGGCTGTCTTGTCAGAATCTGAACAGGCCCTCTGGCTCGTGCGTGGATCTTGTCATCGACCATGTGACGAAGACGTTGATAGTAAGTTGGACCCAGGAATACTTGTGCCATAAGCTTGCGTCCAGTATGGCCATGATACATGATCTCAAAGCCACGAGATTGATACCCATGATCACGGAGGAGCTTGGAAACTGAATCAACAGTGACTTCCGTGAATGGTGTAGCGTCACCTTCAAGACCTCGGAGCGTGGAGACCTTACTCAATTGACATTCAATCAAATGAGCAATTGTCATACGAGACGGAATGGCGTGAGGATTGATGATCAAGTCCGGCACAATGCCCTGCCTAGTAAAAGGCATATCCTCTTGTCGGTAGGTGATACCGATAGTTCCCTTTTGACCGTGACGAGAAGCAAACTTATCGCCAATCTGTGGGATCTTGGTTGTTCGCATTCGTACCTTGACGAAGCGGAGACCCTCGGCATTGGTTGTGATGAGGACCTGGTCCACAATACCGTTCTCCGTGCTACGCAAGGGAGTGGATGCATCTCGCTTGACGTGTGCCTTTGTACGCTGCCCAAGCTCTTCGGCATCTGGTGCAATTGGCGCGGTCTTACCGATGATGATATCCTCTCCCGAAACACGAACACCTGGCGCGACGATTCCATCATCATCGAGCTTGTCATAAGTCCCATGCTTCAG